GAAAGTTACGGAACTAATCCATCACCTCTTTGCACTGTTTTGCAAATAGCTCCATTTCTTTTTCAATGAATTCTTTGCTCATTTCTTTTGCATATCCACCACTGCCCTCACCGGATTCCTCCATTTTGACCTCCAAAAATTCGGCTCCCAACGACTCTACTTGCTCTTTGACAACTGATCGCGTATCAAATCCTCGCACAATCGCTCCCTTCAAAAAAAAAAAAGCTAGATATTTCTCGATGGCTTCAAAAGAGCGTTTGCAATAAGTGGTACTCGATTCTACCGGAACTCTACGTTTTCATGCTTCAGTGAGATTTAAGTCTAGGCCAAAAATCGGAGTAAAGAAATGTTTGAAAGCTGGACCCCACTGCGCGATTCTGGACTAAAAACTGAAAAAAACCCTCCAGTACCTTCGGTACCACAAATTCCAAGGCCGCCTTATCCTGATAAAAATAGGTGCTATTTAATCTCTTAATTTAAAAAATCTTGCACAAACCATTGCTTTAGCGGTACCGATAGAACTTAGGCCAGCAACGCCACCACCAATAACAAGGATTTTGGCCGGTGGTACTCGTCCTGCAGCAGTGATTTGTCCGGTAAAGAAGCGTCCGAAATGATTAGCTGCTTCGATGACCGCCTTATAGCCAGATATATTCGCCATTGAACTGAGCACATCATACGCCTGAATGTTACACATGGGTATTTATTTCTATACGGTATTTCCCTTCATCCCTCTGTTTTACCTCATTGACATAGTCTCTGATTCAAAGAATTTGGAACAAAAAATAATGAGAGGGACACAAAATCTTACTAAAAAAGGTGAAGCAGCGAAAGGCCATAATGCTAACAAAAAAAAAAAGAACCAGAAAGACCAGGGCAAGTCTTCTCGAAGAAATGAAGTGATGGATGTGTAAGAAAGTAAAGATGCGCCCTCAAAATGAGGTAAATGAGGCAAAGTGAGGAATATTCCAGTAATTAATTTATAAAAACGCTTCATGAATGAAAAAATACCTGTGCACGAGTGACACGTGGAATGCAATCCATCGCAAATACAGTTAACTGTTTTTTGGCCAAAGCATCAACAATGGAGCGATTCTGGGCCGGATAGAGCAGCGATATCAACGTGGACTTCTCCTGGAACTGCTCGCATTCCTTTTCACTTGGCGCTCGTATCTAAAAAAAAACTTCTGTTTTATTGTTGGTGTGAAAAAACAGGGCTGATTTAACTGGACAAACCAATATTGCTGCTCAAATTATGCGGCTAGAAAATAATAGGCCAGCACACCGACTGCTGGTGCGAAGATGCATTTTTTGCGTAGTTCCCCGCAGTTTTTGTCGCTACCAGCACTAGTTTTTGGGCAAATGCTTCTAGCTGAAAGAACTGGGACTGGCCACCAGGCTTTCAAAAAACATTCTCTCAAAATTTCAGCCTTCTAGCTTTGCTAGTTTCCGAGTTAGCAACTTTCTCGCCAAAAATTTTCACGGCCCCGCACGCGAGAACTGCGTGGGTAAGAGCGCCCACTTTGGGGATGGGGCCCGTATATGCGTGTAGATTAAGCTCCCAAAGTTTCAGCCTTATAGCTGTTGTAGGTCTCGAGATGAGAAATCGGTAGAGACGAACACACAAACGCAGACAACAAACACCTCAACAATATGCGTTTTTGAATTAGATAGATGCAAAAAAAGCGCATAAAAACCAATCCAAACAAATGTACAGCGCTCATCAAAAGCACACACACACATATCATTTACAACAGGTAGAAAAAGCTATGTTTCTCAAGAAAATCGCTCACTTTAAGGATAATATTGGATTTGTAGGCCTCCTCCTTACTTCCGATGGATGCGCCCGCTTTTCGGTACACATCATCGCTGAACGAAGCTCCCGCACCGGCACCTTCTTCGATCAGAACTTTGAAACCTTTACCAACCAACACTTCTGTTGCCTGTGGTGATAATGCAACTCGACGTTCTCCTAAAAAAAAATCTGCATAATAATTTCGTTATGACCACAAAGATACGTCAAGAAGTCAAAAATTCCCCTTTTGCTGCTTTTGTCAATAGGCCGCCGATAGGTCCCCTTTCTGAGGATGCTTAGAAGCATATGCCAGTACCAATTTACCATCGAAACGAATGAATGAATCGTAGAGGGACTGATTTTTCCAGTAGTGAGTCAAATTTTCGACATATTGGACGATAACAATGACTCTGCGCAACTGGGCTATTTTATGCTCTCAATACAAAAAATGTTCTCATTTTATTAAAAAAAAA